CATTCTTTAGCCACACACTAGAAGTATTCTCCTCACATATCGAACATGCATATTTTCCCTTAATCTTATAACCGGATAGGTTACCGTATGCTGGGTAGTCATTGATTGTCCAAAGAATCATAGCACGTAACGTGAAACACTCTTGACGATAAGCATCAAATACTTTGAGACCATGAATCCACATTTCCTTCAAATCATCAATCATTGGGGCTAAGAATACATCAATGTCATTACCCGGTTGTTTAGGCCCAGATATTAACAACGATAGCATGATGTATTTGCGCTTCATGCACAACTCTGGAGGAAGATTGTAAATGACAAGCAGTACCGGCCAAGTACTATGTTGCGTACTCAAGCTTCCAAAAGGATTGATTCCGCCAGTACACAATCCCAATCGAAGGTTTCTCCCCTCATTCCCAAACTCCAGAAATGTGTAGTCAATCGTCTTCCACTGTGGGGCATCGGCACGATGGCGCAGGGTGCCATTATCTTTTCGCTGCTCTCTGTGCCACACTAGATTCTTAGCGTCTTTTATTGAAGCAAACAAACGCTTGAATCTTGGTTTTATTGGAAGGTACCACAAAACCTTAACCAGAGTCTTTTTGGATTTTTTCATATTGTCTTTGTTAAGAGTCATTTTGCTTGACTCCTTGTATCTTGGAGCAAAACACTTGGGACACTCGTTGAGATCCTCGAACTCATTTCGATATAAAATGCAATCATTAACACAAGCATGTATATTCTTGTAGCCCTCACCCATTGGATACATCATTTTCTTCGCCTCATAAGTAGACGATGGCAGTTCGTGTCCATCTGGAAGAAGTTCACCCAACAAACTTAATAAAGATGTGAAACTTTTGTCACTCCACCCATTTGCAACTTTTAAATTGAACAATTCCAAAACCCCCTTCAAACGTGTAAACTTGGTACAACCAGGATACAATGGACGTTTTGAACTTCCTACTAAGCTCTCATACATATCACGCTCCTCATCAATGACGACTTTATCAGGAGGAACATCTTGAGTGGCCTCTAACTCATCTTCTATTTCAACCTCAAGATTGTGGATGTCGTGAATATCATCTTCGACTTGGTAATTATGAGTATAGCTAGAGCTGCAATGATTTTCTAATTCCCCATGCCATTTCCATTGGAGATATGTTGGGTCAAAACCCTTGCGATACACATGTATTCGTATTTCTTTAACGCTATCAACCATAAAATGGTTGTGACATGAGTTACAAGGACAATATAACCTTTTTCCTTCTTTTGAATGTTTCTCTGCGAAACGAATAAACTCTTCCAAACCAGAACTAAACTCAGGTGATGTACGCGACATATGAATCCAACTTCTATCCATCATATGAATTGCTAAGCAAGACAGAAGGGCAAATGATTGATACATGCAAAACAATGCACAACAAAATTGTTAATACACATTTTATATACACACACAAACATATAAGAAATATAGGCAACACAATATTTCATTTCTTAAGATGCAACAAAAATCCGACAGCACTTCTTCATTATAGAAATGGTCCTTCTTTACACCATCCTAACCCATTCTTGAAATG